TACCTTCCAAACCTCTGTATCTGATATTCAAGATTTCTAACACTCTTATCTTTCACTGCTTCCTACCCCAGTTATTTGCAGCCAGAGTAGACCACTAAATCGTGATCATTCCGACAGCCATGCCTTTGCCTAGGCTATAGGCTAAACTCTCCATTTTTCTCTTATTGAGTGAATCCTAGTCACTCTATAAGAACCTTTAGTGGTGCAGTGGGTATGGCATTTGGCTACTACCCAGAAAGTGGGTGGTTCAAACCTACCAGCTGTTCTAGGGGAGGAAGAAGGGGCAATCTATTTCCGTAGAGATTTAGAGCCTTGGAAACCCTATGAGGGTCACTATGAGTCAGAATCAACTTGAGGGCAGTGGGCTGGGTTGTTGGTTAATCACTCTTTAAGGTAAAATTTTATCTTGTCCATGCCATTTTCTCTGATGTCCACTGATTAGATTCAGGGGAATTATTACAACACCAAGGTCTGCATCTCTTTTAGTACTTAAGTATATACTACTTCCCTTTTCACGTATATTCCTTTCCTCCCATCCATCACTGCTAGGTTCCCAAGCTAGTGTCTTACACTTCTGCAGCTCTCACAGTAGCCATCCCTGGATTGGGCATATAGCAGGTGCTATATAGAGAAAGCCAGGAACAGGGGTCTGGAGATAATAGAGGGATAAAATAATAATAGCTAGCATTCACATATATGCCAGGCACTGATATAAATGCTCTGCATGTTTGAAGTTACTTAAAACTCACAAGCTTCCTGTTGTTGTTGTTTGCCGTCGAGTCGGCCCCAACTTATAGCGACCCCTCCTTGGGTTTCCGAGGCAGTATCAATACGGAAGTAGGATTGCCCGTCCTTCCTTCCGAGGAGTGGCTGGTGGGTTTGAACTGCCAGCCTTCTGGTGAGCAGTCAAGTGCCTTAGGCACTATGCTACCAGAGCTCCCACAAGCTTCCTATGTGATAGTAATTTTACACATGAGGAAGCTGAGTCATAGCTGGGTTAAGACCCAGGCAGTTTGACTCCAGAATCTCTCCTCTTAATCACTTTTCATACTATCTCCAATAGATGGAAAAAAAAAAAAAAAGGAATATGATCCTGTAGGGAGAGGAAGCAAAATTGGGACTAGAGCAGAGATAAGGCATGAAATGATGGGGCTAAAGAAAAATGGCCATGAACCACAGCCTCCACTAGCCCGAGACCAGAACTACATGGTGCCCGGCTACCACTGCTCCGATCAGGATCACAAAAGAAGGTCATGGACAGGCATAGAAAGCAAACAATAACTCCCATGAGGAATGTACTTGTAACAATCAACCACACAAGACCAAAGGAGCAGGATTTGCCCAAAAACACAATTCAGAAGGCAAGGAGGCGCAGGAAAGAGGGATGAATGGCAACGGGGAACCCAGGGAGGAAGAGGGCCATTACATTGAGGGGTTGCAGCTGATGGTACAAAACAAAATGTGTATAATGTTGGAAGGGAAACTAATTTGCTCTATGAACTTCCATCCAAATTGCAATAAAATGTTTTTTTTAAATGGGTAAGGAAGAACAATAAGGCCAACCAAAACAAAAGACTGCACAACTGACACAATAGTAAGAAGAATGAGGAAAAGGAAAAGGTGACAAACAAAAAGGAAAAAAGAAAGTTGTTCAACAT